ATCATGCATTTGAGCGCAACGTGCAACGCACTGCAATTTGAAAGAAGGGTCAATCAGAGTTGATTCTGTTCAATGGTGTATCCATTATTAGTTCCTTACCTGTTCATAAAAATGTCATCATGTCTTCGAAGCATATTTGCAAGTACACTCGCGGATTGTATGAACCAAGGGCACATATTACATTACACGCTGGATGATTCAAACCTTGGCCCAACCTGCAGAGTTGAGAAAGAAGCTCGATCATCTCTTACAGATGTGATATGAGATCTTCATCTCATTTCTATCTCAGTTGGGTTGGATTCGAAGTCTCTCAATATCAAGGTTCATCCTCGCGAGTCAGGAAGGCACCATTTCATCGCCTCTTGCTCGTCCAGGGAGAGGGGGCTTGGGGAATGAGAAAAGGGGGCTACCCCCCACCCCCTATTACGCAGTTTCAAATTCTTTCAAAGGTGGGTGGTTGAGGGTGCTCCATGCCTACCCCACCCCCCAACAACAGTCAAATGGAGGGGTTCTCGGAAGTCGAAGTTCCGACCAGTTTGGCCCTCATTTTGTACCATGTAAGAGCTGCAATTTTAAGTTGGTACCACAGATACTCCTAAAATGCGTACTTTTACATTGGTTTGGCGTGGTGAGGTGTCCACGCCACCAAATTCAAATCACCCTACCCCTCTTTGGCCCTGCACAGCAACGATTTTCATGAGAGCGACTACCCTCCCACATGACTTCTCAAAGGAGGGTACTCCCAATTGGCATGGAATGAAGGGACCCCTCAGGTCCTTCGAAAAAAAAAAAATATTGCCAATTTTTCCTATGAGCGCCCGGCCGGAAAAGCAACGCTATGGTGATCCGTCTTGGGGCCACGGTTGTGAACGACTTACATTTTGTGCAGTACGGGGTAATCCCTCCCCCTCCGATGGTCTCGTCGCTTGAGTCAGCCAAGGGGAGCATACATCCGATGTTTGAGCATTTTGAGCAGGTCCCTTGTTTCGTGCATGCGTTGACGCTGAAGAAGAATCGTGTATGGTCCGCGTCCTCTAGCTCTCTAACCTTCTGCATTGGGAGATGATCCGTGAGATCACGGTATCCTGCTATCTCCCATGTTGTTTTATCCGATTCTTCTAGTGCTACAATTGCTTTCGTGATTGTGTTTGCAGGTAGCAGTGATAGAAAGATCCAGTCATCTGTCCCCTCTCGCTCGATCCCAATCATCAGTTGCTGGTTTGCACTCCAAAATGCTCTAACGCCCCTCGTGTCTTCGCTAGATAGGGTTGCTTCGATTTGGTTGATGAGCTCGTCGGCATTGTCGACTATCTTGCCGAGCAGTCGAAGAGCCAAGCCTTTGTGGCAACGAAGGGAGTTAGGGTGTTTTTTCTTGATGTCTTGACTTATCATCGGTTCTTTGGGAATGAAATCATTCTTGCGTCCCATTGCATTCTGGGATTCACGGCTGCCTACCGTGCCTAGCCGTGTTTGCTGCTGTTGGCAGATCTCTTGGAAAACTTCGTTGTTTTGTTCTTCACATATCGTTCTGAACCTCTCGATCTTAGTTCGCAATTCTCTTTGTAATGTAGCTTCCGTAGGTACTCCAGTCGCTGGGCTTTGCTGTGATGCTTCCCTAAGTTTAGTCCGCAAGTTGCGGATCGATCTCTTCAAATCCATTTGTTCTTTGTTCGAATGTCGCCTTCCTCCCGTTCTGATTTTCACCTCCTTTAGTGGTAGAGAGTTGGCGAGCATCTCACAAATGTTACATTCTTGCGCCTTAGCTCGCATGTCTCGTATGTTTGCATCTAGTTGTTGCGCCCATTCGATCTTCTTCTCCTCCCACGAATCGCGATCCAGCACCCATCTGCTTTTAGGGGTTTCCCCCTTCTTCTGTCGTGAATTCATCTGGTGCACTTCTACTCGTGGGATTAGCTGCGTCTCCTCGGACGTGAACTTGGTGTGTACTTGCACCACCAGGGCTCTGTGATCAACTGCTCCCCCTATCACACAGCCGTCGACCGTCCACGATTGAAGGGAGATGTTTGGAAAGTTGTCCTCGTCACTTGGGGGGTGAATAGCGAGAACTGCGTCGAGTTTGGCTTCTATCAGTTCTTGTTTGTACCATGTTGAGAAGGTAAATGTTGTCCCAGTCTCGCTGATCTGTTCATATGAGAGTGTACGGTGTGCGGAAAGGTCTGCCAGGAATTTCTCGAATCTCTCATCTGCTTTTGCGGTGATAGATGAGGGGGAATATCCTCTCCGCATTGGTGTTGTTGTGTTGGTTCTTGCTGCATTAAAGTCTCCGGCTATGATGTGTGTCTCTCTCGTTCCCAGAGCGAGGTGTAGCAGCTCTGCCCACAGTTCCCCTTGCTCTCGAATCGCATTTTCCGCAGGTACCTGATGGAGGTTTGTGACTAAGAAAGAGTTTTTCCCTGTTCCGACTTTGATCGAAAACACTCGGTTTCGATATTTCTTTTCTTTGTTGCACGCCTGGTGAGCGGCAGGGGAGGGTGACGGCGACAGGGCCGCATGTACCAGCGTTACCAACCTCAGGTCTCCTTTCCCCTTCTTCGCATTGATCTTTGCAGGCCCCAGGAAGATTCTGTAGCAGGCCCAGTTCTCCTTGATCATCTTCCTTAATTTGTTCTCGTCGCGGGCCGAGACCCTTACCTCTTGTAGTAGCACAACCCCAGGTTGGAAGGACTGGATTAAGTATGCGAGGATGTGCTTGAGAACAAAGTGATTGCAACCATTCACATTTTGTGAGATGAGGAAACCTGGGTCTGAACTTTTTCGATGCATCTGCGCCCAATCATTGCCCCTTTGCTCCTCCTGCCTTTCCCCCCTCCGCTCCTTCCCTCTCTGGGAGGTTTTCTCTCCTGATTGTGCATTCTCCTCCATTTCCTCACCCAGATGTCTTGGTTGGGGCTTCGTGGAGGTCGCCTGCCGCTGGATTGCGATCGGCTGTACCTCCTCCTCAAGCTTTGTCGTCGAGGTCATCAGCCGCTGGATTGCGTGTGGCTGTACCTCCTCCTCAAGCTTTGTCGTCGAGGTCATCAGCCGCTGGATTGCGTGTGGCTGTACCTCCTCCTCAAGCTTTGTCGTCGAGGTCATCAGCCGCTGGATTGCGTTCGGCTGTACCTCCTCCTCAAGCTTTGTCGTCGATGTCAAGTTCTCTTGCACCCTCGCCTCCTTCGGCAGAGATCGCAGAATTACCTGGGCCGTTTCCTCCATCTTCTCCAGATGGGTGAGAGCTTCGATCAGTTGTGTTCTGGTTTGCATCAGCCATTCTTGCGGAGGTCTTAGTCTTGTCCTCGTTTCCATCGTTGCTAGCCAGTCTTGATTTGTCTCGCAGAGCAGTAGGGTGTGAAGGATAGCGAACACTCCGCAGTTGAAGTTATCTTCCTGTTGGAAGGCTGAGCACCACTTTACCTGCCATGGGGCGTTGGTCTGATCGTCAAAGATGTGTTCGATCACTCCGATTGTCAGCTCAGCCATTTCTCTTGCTCCGTGCTCCCCCGTTGTTGCAAGATTCCTCGCTCCCTCGATCCCTCGTGGGTCCCTCGTTGTGCTCGTTCTGTCCTCGCAGAGAGGGTCCAATATGTACGCGCATCGCCGATCATATCTTAATGCAATTAGAATCCAGTGGTTGCTGTGGATGATAGTTGGAAACAGGAAGGTGTGTTGCTCATCTCTCAAGCTGCTGAGGTGAAATCTGTTCCCGACTCTCAAGCGGGACGCCTCGTCTCGCAGACTGGATATTACCCTTGGCAAGAAGATGATGTTCCGCGTTTGCTGGTCCTCGTGGGCTCTCCCTTTGCGTACCATGTGTATTGCTCGTCCTCCTTGAAGAGCCTTGCTCATCTCATTGAGAGTAACTTCGATCATGTTCTCGCATAAAAATCCGCTTACTCCTCGATTGTTCAGGGCAGTGATGCCAAATTCCTTGTCGCCTCGTTTGTCTGACCATGGGATCTCCTCGATCCAATCAAAAAAATACAGTGTTCTATCTACATGTTGCGTTTCCTTTGAAACCGTTTCCATCTCCCCCCCTTGCCTACTCCCGGCACTCCCCCCTTCCTCCTCCCTTCCTCCTCCTGTCATGATTCGGTTTTAGAGTTGAGAGGCATCTCGGTTTTAGAGTTGAGAGGCATGATTCGGTTTTAGAGTTGAGAGGCAGTTTCGGTTTTAGAGTTGAGAGGCATGATTCGGTTTTAGAGTTGAGAGGCATGATTCGGTTTTAGAGTTGAGAGGCATGATTCGGTGTTAGAGTTGAGAGGCATGATTCGGTTTTAGAGTTGAGAGGCATGATTCGGTTTTAGAGTTGAGAGGCATGATTCGGTTTTAGAGTTGAGAGGCATGATTCGGTTTTAGAGTTGAGAGGCACTAAACCCTAAACCCTAAACCCTAAACCCTAAACCCTAAACCCTAAACCCTAAACCCTAAACCCTAAACCCTGCTCAAGCTCAGCAGCTGCCGTTGCCCGTGGCGAGACCGCGCTGCCCCTCCTTGCCTTCTTGCTCTCTCCTTGCACGCGAGTCCAGCGCTTGCTCTGCAGCCACTTCCCCAGCTTCTCCTTGAGAACGTTGCGCCCAACTCCCTGCTCCTCTGGCATCTTCGCCCACTCTCCCAGCGACATGAACTCCAGGCTCCCCGGAGAGTAGAACGTGTCGTGGAGGTTGCCAACGGCCTTGTCCAGGACCAGCTTGATCGGCTCGCTCGTCCCCGCCTCGTTCAAAGAAGCTGCATCTTCGATGACTGCTGACAGCTCGCTGACGAGCTGCATGTCCTCTTGGCTTGACGGAGATGCTGCCTCCATTGTGATCCTCTCCAGGTCTGTAAACTCCAGCCACTCTCCCTCGCTCTCCTCCTGTCGCTGCGCTGCGTCGCTGGTGCCCCGCTGACCAGCCGCCTCAGAGTCAGGCTCCTTGTCGAAGCCGACTGCTTCGAGCTTGGTTGCTGCGCCTTCGAGATAGAAGGGCAGCTCCTTCATCATGCGTCGAGCATCCTCCGTGGAGCCGAGGAGGATGCATAGCTTGGACCCGTTCCAGGACTTGGTGTTCAAATCCTCCTCCATGTCGATGCCTTCAACGTTGATCTCGAGCCTGTTAGCGATCTCCAACAAGACTCTCTTGACTCTTGCGATAGACGTGTTGCCGCCGTTGCACAGCCCCTCCATCTCCTTCCTCGTGAAGCGACCAGATGCCGCCGTCGACTTGATGATGATCTTGATCTCCTTGCCGTCCTTGCCGCCTGCCTTCTTCTGCAGTCTTGATGCCTTCTTCAACTTATTTCTGGACACAAAGCGATCCGCTGTCAACTCGACTGCGAGCGCCTCTCTGATCTTCGGGTCCTCGCTGAACAGAGTCAGGTGTACTCCCTCCATCGCTTCGCTCTCTCGGAAAGCTCGAAATGCTGTATCATTCGCCTCTGGGCAGCTCGAGGAGACGATCCACTCCACCTCCCTCTGTCTCCAGATGACGTTGGCCCCTACAGCGATGAAGCCTTTCTGACCTAAGCCTTTGTGGACTTGCTGTCCTGGCGCCCCAGCGACCAGCATGCCTGCCAGCGGCTGGAGCTGTACCGCTGCAAGGGACTGGCGCAGCAGCTGATAGCGATAGACGGCAGCTATCTCAGCCGTTGTCATGCCGCCCAAGGTTAGCAGGTGAGTCAGCTCTGCCAAGCTGCCCCCTTTGCCCCAGGGTCCTCTCTTGGCTCGAATCTTGAAAGATCGATCGTGCACGATGCTCACATGTACAGCTGTGAACTTGCGACCATCGATCGCGAAGTCCTCTCTTCCCTGCCAGAGCTTCTCCGCTTGTGCATTGCGGAGGAAGGAAACAGTCACCGGGATCTCCTCAGCACTCGCTATCTCGGGTCTATACGGAGCCTTCCACATGATTGCTTTACTCTCTTGCACTGAGTCTACGATCAGTCCGATCTCTTCAAATTTCTTCTTCAGCTTTTCTTCATACCGAGGAGATGCCCAGGAGAGTCATGGAGATGAAGGAAGTCACCTCGTTGCCTGCTGAGGCGGTGTATGTCTCGACCTTCTCTTTCTTGGCTTCTTCAATCTGCTGCATAAACCACTCTCTGGATGCGTCACTCCATCCAGCCATCGCTTCTTGCAGAAGCTCACGTCGTGCCTGCTGACATGTCGAGCGGATGGCTTCTGCGATAGCGTCGGGGGTGCATCCCTCCACAACCTTGCAAGCCTGGGCTGTCCTGCTGTTCGGATAACGCTTCGCGAAGCTCTTCACCCTCTCGACGAGATCAGCTTCGAGGACAGAGGCATCCACAAGTCCGCTCTGCGTGTATTGGCATGATCTCCGATACAGCAGGTTGCGAACATTTTCATCATACTGAGGAACCATACTTAGAAAGCTATTTGAAGTATACAAACCTCTTGCTTGCAGCTTCCTTGGCGCCCTGGCGGCTTCCCCTACACCTGACGAGGAGCCATGCTGCCGAAAATAACGGCGCCTCCTAAACCCTAAACCCTAAACCCTAAACCCTAAACCCTAAACCCTAAACCCTAAACCCTAAACCCTAAACCCTAAACCAGGGATCTCGTGACCTGGCAGTTCGGCCCGACTTGGCTGGCCCCTATGGCAGCCTTGCTTCTGCTCTGCTCCCTTGTCTGATTATACTTCAGTGGTCTACCCCGGCGTCAGCCAGAGGAGTTTCCTCCGCTGGCCTTGGCCTGGGTCGTCCATGCTTTCAACTTGTGTTGCTTCCTCGGCTCCGACACACCTTGGCGGTCTCGGCCGGCCTTCGGCCAGTGAGTGAATGAAGGATAAGGTGGTAGGTGGAATGCGTATGGGTCTCTGGGACTCACGTCCCTTCCCCCGGGCCTCGGTCCGGACCGGGCCCGAGAGCCCGGCCGGCCTCCGCCCGGCCTCCTCCTCCCGGCCCCTCTCCCCCCTCCCCCACCGGCTTACCTGCCCTTACCTTCGTTGCTTGCCCCATGACCACCTGCTTTATTTCTTCCTCCTTCCCCCCTTTGGGCCCACAGCTCCGCTCCGCCTCTTGTCCACCTCTAAGACTTGCCTCGAGCCTCAAGCGCGAGAAAGGCCGGCGCCGGCCTCCTCCTCCACGCCCTCGCCCTCCTCAGCCTCCATGTCGACTTCCTCCCTCATCATCAGCCGCAGTCGGTCTTGCTTGTCGACCTTGCCCGTGCAGCTCAACCCATGGTGCTCAGCAAATTTACTGATCGCAAGAAACAAGAGGCTTACAGATCGACTCTCGATGTCATCGCTCTCGGCCTCCTGCTCGAGTGCATCAGTCGCTGCTGCCCTTGGAGAGAAGGCGCTGCCCCTCCTCGCTGCCTTGTTCCCTTGCACCCGTGTCCAGCGCTGCTCGCCGAGGTACGCTCTGAGCTTTTCTTTCAACATGTTTCGCTTCGATCCCAGCGTCGGCGTGGCTGCCCAAGCTCCGAGCGTCATGAACTCCACGTTGCCCGGCGAGCAGAAGGTGTCATGCAGCTTGCCAACACTCTTGTCTAGCTCCAGAGAGATCGGCTTGCCAGCTAGCAGCTCCTCCTCTGATGTCTCCAAGAGCATCGTCGAGAGGCCCGAGCAAGACCTGTTGATCGACTGGCCCTGACGGTGACGCTGCTTCCATGGTGATCCTGTCGATGTCGCTGAGCTTCAGCCATCCAGCCTCTTGCTGCTGCCCTTGGGGCTCTTGGGCTTGCTCCTCGCTGCTCGGGCTGCTCTCCTCCTCATGCTGAGGGTTGAGCTTAAAACTAGGGCCACCGCTTCGAGCTTGACTTCCAGGATCCCTTCCAAGTAGAAGGGCATGTCGTCCATCAAGCGTCGAGCACTCTGCCTTGGTCGCCAGGGAGAGAGCTATCAGGCTCCCATCCCAGCTGAGCGTGTCACGATCCTCCTCGACCTCGACGCTGACCAGCCTAAACCCTAAACCCTAAACCCTAAACCCTAAACCCTTGGTCGGGAGAAACCCTAAACCATAAACCCGAAACCCTTAACCCGCGACTCTGAGCTCCATTCGCTCAGAGAGTCTTCAAACAGGTCGCGTCTCGCCTGCCGACATGTCGGTAGTGCATCCCCCCTCAGCTCTGCAAGCATGAGCTGTCCTACCGTACTACCAGGATATCGCTTCGCGAAGCTCTTTATCATCTCGACGAGGTCGGCGGCCTCTTCGACGTGGCCTCCAGAGCGCACGCCCTGCGTGTATTGGCATGATCTCCGATACAGCAGGTTGCGAACGCTCTCATCATACTGTAGTACCATACTAAAAAAGCTTTTTGAACTATACCAGCACTTGCTCCGACTCGCAGCTTCCTCCGATCCCCTTGTGCTCCCCCTACGCGCCTTAGGATCTGCATCCTAAACCCTAAACCCCAAGAGGATTTCATAGCTAAGAACTGTTGCTCTCTGCTCATCTTTCGCCTATTCATCCGTCTGAAGGGGTTCCCTGGGAACCCTAGAACACATATTTAACTAGTTCATAAAATATTAATCATCGGTCCGCGGCATGACCAATGCTCAAAAGGTTTCTCAGGGAGCTCTCAGCATCGCTCTTGGCTTGATTTGCTTCAGCTCGGCATCTGCCTGGCATTGTCTTGAGTACAAGCAGAGGGCGGCTTGGAAGCGCTGCTGCTTGCGAATACGAGGGGAGGGGGCTCATTGACAAGTATGCTCGATAAACGGTTTGCTCTGACAACAGTAGAACAAGAGATCATACGCGTAGAAGAAAAGATTAAGGAGGTAGACAGAGAGATTGGGAGAGTGGAAAAAGACATCTCAGCGTACAAGGCACGCAGTCCGATTACACAATGCCTGCTTTTCGAGCTTTTCTTTTGCAAGAAGGTGCAGTACGGGTTGAGCCTTACCTATCGGGGATCACCAGAGCCCACGCAAATGGATGGAATATCTAGTCATCACCTTCGATGCAAAGGGAGGCATACAACAACTTCCCAACCACAGAACTTGCTTGAGGCTCGTGAACCCCCAGCAAGGAGGCTACAACGCTTTCATATTAGAGCCTCACAGGATGTCAGTAGAGTTTGTGCTGCTGACAAAGGCAAACGTCCATCCTTTCAAGCTGACTTTGTTTGCAGAGGCTCTCACTGGGCTTGGTATCCTTGCAGCTGGGTGGAAGGTGAGGGTAGTGTTCATGGTGCCGCGAGACTGAAAGGCTCTAGAGCTTTCGGATAGGCAAAATCACGGGCTGCGGTGCGCTGGAGAAGTACGGATGGAAGCGAGGGCACGAAGAGAGGCAGGCAGAGGTAGCGGTCAAGGATGTCGCGTGAGCTCACCGGCGTTAGCAAGGGACAGCCGGGGAGGCGTGTGGCAGACGAGGCAAAGATCCGATCAGGAGCGGCGGCTCAGTCGCACAGGGGCTTGGGAAGATGATCAGCCTGATATCTACAAAAAATGACTAGCAGGGTAGTGTAGAGCTTGAAAGGCAACCTACTTGATATGATGAATCCTCTGGTCATAATTTCGAAGTCCTTCGTTCATACTAACTGTCTCATTCTTCAGCAAAGGTGATTGTATGTGTGAAGAGCCAGTTTCAAACACTTTGCAGCAGCATGAAGGAACACTTTATTCGGTTGCTTGCCCATATCTTTGAAGAAAATGCAACGACTTCAAAACCAATATATCAGCGAGACTTTCACGATTGTTCAAGTTGCTAAAGTTGGAGTCACATGACGCTCGCCGACAACGTTGACTGTTCGAGCTTTCACATAGGGCTATCCCTCTGCCTGCTGATGAAATATGCAGAACACGTTGCCTGCCAAGGGATTGGATTCAAACTTCACCATGTCGAGTCATCAAATTTTGCATCGTTGCCTTATATCCACTGCATGCTCCATGATGTCAATCGCAGTCGGGGAGGCTCCGTGAGAGACGCTGCTTGCGTCGGGCAGTGCCGCCGACTCGGTCTTCTACGGCCGGTTTTGGCACAAATCATACTTTAGTATAGTTTTGTATTTTGAAATCTGTAACCTTTTTCTGGACACATCAAAGAGCTTTGGATTTGCTTCTGTTTTTCTCACCGTGCTTTCTATGTCTATTCTCACAAGAAATTGTTCTATTACTCTATCTATCCTTACAAAACATTGACTACTTGGTAGGATTCTCCATGAAAAACTAAACAAACTATATGAGGTTTCAGATCTTGCTCACATCAACATGGTAGGCATTTCCTTCAACAATGAGCTATACCTTGCATGCTGCAGAATGTCATTCCTGACTACCTATACATAGAAGTCAAGTAAGCTTGCCATAAGCTCTAAATGAACCAAATGTCTTGAAACACAATCGCCTTGGTTAAGCTCCATCTCTTCGCTCCTTCTATTCTCTCGCAAGTTTGCCCATGTCCTCGTATGCCCTCACGCTCGCCATCGCTCTGGGGAAAAAATTATAAGTGTTTTAACAAAAGGGCCAAAGAACCCCTAAATTACAACTTTACAGGACTTACGGAGGGCAACAATTCCAAACGATGTGGTTTGAGCCGCCACTCCGCCCCCTTCTCTTCCCCCATCGATCAGAGGCAGCAGAGGGCTCGGGAGAAACTCGTCGCGCCGTGATGCACGAGAGGCAACAATTCGAGGAGATGTGAGTCCAGCCTCCTTCCGCCTCCTTCGGACTCTCAGGGCCTTCTAACCACCACCGCCGCCGGCGGGCTGGGCCTCGCCGCGCCTGTGATCGGACTCCGGGCCGGCATTTCAAGTTTTGTACGGTCAATGAGGGTCTCTTCAACTTAACTTTGAGTAAAAAGAGGGTGCTTTTGCAATCGGATTCGAACTTCGAGAAGCCTGAGGTACCATTTTCCTTTACTCAAAGTACCCGTACGCTGGACCCGCGGCCCGGGCCCCGGGGCCCCCGCCGGGGCGGGCGGCCGGATCCGGCGATGATCTTTTTGCTTAGTTGGCGTACTAATTTTTAACTTAATTAAATTTGAGTAAAGAAGTCGGGCTAGTACAGGGTGACTGAGCCCCGGGCCCCGGCACACTACTGAAGCATCGGAATGACAGGAGCGGTCAAGTAGACTGCGGCGGTCAAGTGGGGAGGTGAAGAAACAGCGGCGTGATAAACTTCATCGCCTCTCGCAATGGGCCATCCTCTCTTTAACTTAGTAAGATTCAGAAGAAGAGCCAACCATCCCTGAGAGACCAGAAGTCATTCATCAAGGACATTGATTTATCCATAGACTGACCAGCGCGACGAGCTGTGAGATTGTGAGACTGTACGGTGGCCTTAGTATAGCGTGAGGGGATGAGGGAGGGAGGGAGAGAGAGTGACTTGAGGGTGTCAGATGAACAAGACAAACTTGAGCAGTGATGACATAAGTGAGGCTGTCCGCGCTATGTTTGGAAGCCCTGGGCGAAGGATGCCGGTACTGACAAAGCATGCCTGTACATCATCATCTCCTTGCCTGTACATCATTATCTCCAAGCTTGCTCCTCGTTGCGGTTCTCTCTTGAATTGTTCTGCATCGTGCAGGTCAGACTGAACCTTGAGAAGCTGAAGAATGAGAGTCGCGACGACATGCGTTTCTTGAGCAAGACAATGAGAGACAAAGCCGCGAGAACAGGCAGTGTCTCTTTTTCGACGCGATGCCCTGACAAGCTTTTAGCACGAGTATCTTCCTCGCGAGTCCTCGGTCAATCCACGAGGAGGCCAAGGCTGTGGGAGTTCCGAGCAGACACGCCCCTGTCAAAAGAAGCTCTGAAAGGTTCCTGTGATTCCTATGATAAAGAGATGACTCCCTTCGTGATGTTTCTTCCTTCTCGCCTCTCACTGTTCAGAGTTGGGACTGAAGGATCATGATATCGCCCATACTCCTCTGGAAGAAATCATTGCTGAATGTAATGGCAATCGTCAAGAAGCCGAGATAAAGTATGATCGCCGGATGCCAGAAAGATATCTTACCAAATCCTTGAATTCTCATTGTGTCGCATGCTTTGCCAGATTCCAGTTGTTTGAACGCAAACGCCTATCTCTCATAGAACAAGCAGTTGAAATCAGAAATCGACTTGCAATCGTGAGCTGTTCTTTGAACCTAGCGGCGTCAGTCAAAATGGCCTTGTAGATGGAAGTACGACTGTCTGGTATCGACGATGCGCGAGTTTTGGTCCTTTTCAACAAATTTGCCATAGGCAGAACGTCTAGAGTTGGCCTAGTGGTCAGGCGACTCCTGAAACTGCTCGTGTCACCCAGATGACGATTTTTCAGAAGGACGCAAGTAATGGATTGGTCACCCTCGAAGCTTGGTTGAATTGTCTAAAGGTAAGACTTTCAATCTTACTCATCTCTGCGTTCCTTCCTGAGCACACTTCTAGCATCTGAATTATGTTCCGGAGAAGATGGATGAAGCGGATGCAATAGAGGTACGAACATTGGGAGGTGCGAGGATCTGACAGTTTGTCAGATCTTCAGGTCGTTCCGTCAAGCTAGTTTGAACCTGGGATTCTTCCGTAGCTCCCTTCAGATGATCGTCCGCAAGATTGCTCAATCGGTTTTCTCCTATTCCTTGTTATTTAAGTGCATACCGCACCCACTTCATCTATGCAGGAGGAAGTAAAGCACCGTCATAGAAAATCCTTTGAGGCAGCTGCTGTCTTACCTTAACTCTATCTCATGATGCTTCAGGACCTAGTGAAAGAGCGGAGAAAGCGTTTCTCTCACTTCGAACAGATGCAGAATCGTCAGTTGCTGAGGTCTGAGGCAAGCGGGAAAGTCTTTATGCTTGGGTGATGGTAATTGGCAGGGAGCTTGACGATGAGGTCTCATCCCGTGACAGACTGGTGAAGATGAAAGACAGATTTTACAAGGCAGATGCAACCTTTAGAAATCTAATGGAAGAAAGGAAGAAGAAGTTGACAGAACGACTCGCGTATCTGAAGCAGAAGCATGACGATCAGATAAGGCATGTCGAGGCGTACAGAGAACGAATCGAAGAGGAAAAACGTCTCAAAGCCGAGAAAAAGAAAGAGATTCACAGAGAGCTGATGGAGAAGTTGGCGAGAGACAAGGAGCAGCAGGCAGCGATCAACCAATTTCAGCAGGCTGTCAAGGAAGATCTGAAGATGCGTCACCTTGAGCAGGTCGCTCGGTCACAGGAGTACAAGCGGTCAAAGCTCATGGCGAAGCTGGAGAAGAAGGCTAAGGTGCCGCTTGAGATGGCGAGTCATAAGGCAGCCTTCAGAGAAGAGCAAGCTATGGATCACTTTCACTGGAAGATCCAGAAAGACAAGCTCGAGGTCGTCAAGGCTGACTTACGCTGGAAAGGAAAGCTTGTTGGACTTCCTAAGGAACTTGAAAGCTACTCTGTATTGCGATCCTTCCTTCACAATCAGGTACCTTACATCAGCGCCACTTCAGTTTCATTTCATCATTTACCTCTATGAGACCTTCACCTTCATCCTTCACCTCATTGCATTCTCCTTTCATTCCATTTCGCCTTCCTTCCCACTTCTGCTGTTCTTCAATTTTATGAGCAACTTCCACCGATTGCAGAAACTCAATGCGTGCCTTGACGATCTGAGCCCCGAGCTTCCGCCAGTGCAGGAGGGAGAGGTAAGCTGACGTTTCTCCTTTCCTGTTCTTAGACTATCGTGGCAGTGGATCCCCGGGAGGGTAGAGAAAGATCTCATCTCCTCCTACAAGTTGTTTCTGTCCCCTGACAGTGGGCAGTGCACCTTGAGGATCGAGGTCAGCTCGACAGTACCTGGGCAAGAGCTGAGCTGACGTGAGTTGGCAGCTCAAGCTCCTGCAGGGTTTGGCGGATGTGTACGTGGGGAATGGAACTCTTCCTTTTCCGACTCAGCAAGAGTATCACTGGAGCTCCTGCGGCCTGGGAGCTAAGAGGTGACGGGGAGAGGTGCAGGAAGCGAAGGTAACGAGAAGCACAGGCTTGCTATCCAGTTCTTCGACCACCACTTCATGCTCGGATACTTCTATATATCCGTGTTGGGAACCAAGAACGCGTTTCAAAGCTGCTGCGAGTATGAGCTGCGATGGGATTGCAGGAAGGTAAGAGAGAGTGAGTTGGAAGCTGATTGCTCTGACGCTGATGTCAGTTGCAATCGCCTCTAGCAGAAGTCGGCGACATGTCTAAGACCCATTAGAGGAAATAGAGAGCGATAATACCTCAATGAGCTTTCGCGTTCGAGTGCTTGATGGAAGTAGCTCTTGTTGTTTGTAGACATAGCACTAGTGTTTGGTTGATATACAAAGCACTTTATTCCGAATTGCTTCTCCTCTCTGAGTTCATTTGCCTTCTATACAAACAAACATTTCCCCTTGTTCCATGCCTTTTAGGTTACGAGTGAAGCTCCTGAATTTCAAGCTCTGTCAAGCTCTGATCGTCTTCTTATCTCGTTCGCTATGAATCTCCTTGCTTTGTGAAGCATCTTCTCCATGAAGCTCCAAGCTCTGACCATCTCCTTCTCTCCTTGTCTATAAGCTTCTTCTCCCTCCCTCTCCTCTCGATCCTACCACAAGTCCATCTTGTGTCATTGGCTTTCACTCTGAGGCGGAGTTGGTTTACCCGCCAGGGTGCAAAACCAATGGCGACGAGCGACGAGATCAGCATTGCGTGGGAGAAGAACAAGGTGAGAGAAGAAGAAGAAAACGAATAAGAGCAGAGAATGCATACAACGAGATGAGAAGAGTGATACAACAAGATGAGAAGAGTGATGACGGCGAGAAGAGTGATACAAGACGACGAGACGAAGAAACAACAGGGAAGAGAGAAGACAAGTAGTGAAAGTAAACGAAGTAGAAGATAAGAACAGAGATAAAAACAAGAGCAGGCAATCAAGAATGAAGTAGCAGTGAGAGAAGGAGGAAGAGATGAAGAAGAAGAAATCGATTGAAGCAGTTGGGGGAACACAAATGAATGAAAAGGGAAGAGGGAAAAGAGGACATCGGAGACAGGATAGAACCGTAGAAGTAGAAGGTCAGGCCAGATGGAGGGACGAGCATCAAGTAGATTCAGGAAAGAGTGGATCGATGAGCGTGGGAGTTGGGTGATGAGCGTGGGAGTTGGGTGAGTGGTTGGTAGGTCAGGGGTGAATTGAGTGAGCCACGACAAACGCTGACATCCCGTCCCACAGACTCCAGAAGGAAGGTGAGCAAGAAGGAGGAACCCTGAGACGAGAAATGGAAACGAAGCAAGAGGAGGAGGAGGAGGAGGAGGAGGAGCAAGACCTGTTTTTTCTCCAGCAATTACTTTTCATCATTCACTGCTTTCTTTATCAGGCTAACCATTCGCAACGAGACATCCGGCCGCATGTTGTTCAAGGTAACGTTTGCTATGAGGCTAGTTGAGGCTGAGAGCACAAAGATCAAGACGACATCGCCCATGCGATACTCCGTCAGACCTCATTGCGGTTCCCTCGCCCGTCACGAGGAGGTGAAGCTTATCCACCTTCCCTCCCACCTCCCCCCTCCCCCTGCTCCTGCCCCCCTCCTCCACCTGCTTCCTCCCCTTCCCATGCTCCTTCCCCTCCTTCCTCCACCTGCTCCTTCCCCTCCCCCCCCCTCCTGCTCCTGTCCCTCCTCGTAGTGCATTTGCTTTGTTTGTGCTTATAGAGGGTCAAGGCTGCTGTTACAATCAAACTTCATTTCCGTCTGACGGCTTCGACCTTGAAACTCGGTGACAGCAGCTGCGAGTGTTTTCTACTAGTCACAAGCTTGCAGTATCAGGAGACAAATTTCTTCTGCAAACGACTTCGGTCTACATCTTTTCTTGCGTTCACGCATGTCATTCTCGTGACAGGATGTACCCGAAGAGGAAGATGTGGACGTGAAGAAAGTAAGCAAGATGGGCATGCATGCGTATGTTATGAGGGCAGAGACGTGTTCACCTGTGCATGGGATTGAAGACATTCCCTTGTTGTTATTCTCACTCGCAGATTTTCGCTTCTCTCGCTCGAGACAAAATCACAGAGAAGAAAATTTCATGCAAGATCAAGATGACCAGCGATGTTGAGCTAGAGGGCGGAGAGGATGCGAACATGGACGAGCATCCACAAACGGTGAGCTGAGAGAGCATGGGAGATGAAGGTGAAGAGCTGAAGCAGGATGAGCTTCACGAGCATGAAGAATCAGCAAGAAGAGAAACAAGTCACTCCAAGATCGGAGATCAAATCATCATGGTCCTCCCTCCCTCCCTCCCTCCCTCCCTCCCTCCCTCCCTCCCTCCCTCCCGCCTTCCTGCCCGCCCGCCCGCCCTCCAATACTCTCTCTCTCTCTCTCTCTCTCTCTCTCTCTCTCTCTCTCTCTCTCTCTCTCTCTCTCTCTCTCTCTCTCTCTCTCTCTCTCTCTCTCTCTCTCTCTCTCTCTCTCTCTCTCTCTCTCTCTCTCTCTCTCTCTTTGTAAGTGACTCCTCGTTTTATCCTACTCAGCATAAAGAAAAAGCCAAAGCGCTAAGAGAACACCTCGAGAATGTACTGGGCATGTCCAGAGGTCTTGGAACCTGATGCTTGTCTTGGTTCGCGCAGGTTCGCATGAGACATCAGAGTCTGCAGCGGGAGTACGAGGAGGAGATGGCGAGAAACAGGTGGAGCTCGAGGGTGAGGAGAAGATTTGAAGCAGGAGGCTGAGATGAGCTTGTCAGAGGTAGACTGAGAGCCATCGAAGAGATGCAGAAGAACTTGGAGGAGATGAGGAGGAGCGTGGAGGAAAGGTTCCGAGCTCTTGTGCTCTTGTCAGTGTAAACAACTTTCAGGTCATCAAGCAAGGACGAGAGACTGGCGCAACCGCAATCAGAGCGGCAGTCCACAGTGACTCTTCACTTGTAAGTGACAAGAGGGGCTAGAGCTGGGCTTGAGCTGGGGCTGTTGACACGTCGCTCAGGTTTGTCTTTGCCATGGGCCTTTCTTCGTCCTTGTGGCTGCTCAACATGGGAGATCGCTTTCTTTTTCCTCTTGCGCAATGAAAATTTACAAAAACGAAAACAATTATCTTGACGCCACGACTAGACAGAGAGAAACGAGGAGCTGACGAGAACTGACTCATGGCATCCGCATGGGGAAGAAGACGTTCTGAGGGTAGATGGCCTGCGAGAGATTAAGCAACGAGTGATAGTACAAGAATGCCAGCAGTCATAGAGGAGGAGATTAAGCAACGAGTGATAGTAGAAGAATGCCAGCAGTCATAGAGGAGGAGATTAAGCAACGAGTGATAGTACAAGAATGCCAGCAGTCATAGAGGAGGAGATTAAGCAACGAGTGATAGTACAAGAATGCCAGCAGTCATAGAGGAGGAGATTAAGCAACGAGTGATAGTACAAGAATGCCAGCAGACATAGAGGAGGAGATTAAGCAACGAGTGATAGTACAAGAATGCCAGCAGTCATAGAGGAGGAGATTAAGCAACGAGTGATAGTACAAGAATGCCAGCAGTCATAGAGGAGGAGATTAAGCAACGAGTGATAGTACAAGAATGCCAGCAGTCATAGAGGAGAGGATTAAGCAACGAGTGATAGTACAAGAATGCCAGCAGTCATAGAGGAGGAGATTAAGCAACGAGTGATAGTACAAGAATGCCAGCAGTCATAGAGGAGGAGATTAAGCAACGAGTGATAGTACAAGAATGCCAGCAGACATAGAGGAGGAGATTAAGCAACGAGTGATAGTACAAGAATGCCAGCAGTCATAGAGGAGGAGATTAAGCAACGAGTGATAGTAGAAGAATGCCAGCAGTCATAGAGGAGGAGATTAAGCAACGAGTGATAGTACAAGAATGCCAGCAGTCATAGAGGAGGAGATTAAGCAACGAGTGATAGTACAAGAATGCCAGCAGTCATAGAGGAGGAGATTAAGCAACGAGTGATAGTACAAGAATGCCAGCAGTCATAGAGGAGGAGATTAAGCAACGAGTGATAGTAGAAGAATGCCAGCAGTCATAGAGGAGGAGATTAAGCAACGAGTGATAGTAGAAGAATGCCAGCAGACATAGAGAAGGAGGAGAGATTTCCAAGGAGAAAATGAAGCGCGAACAAGGAGAACTACACATGAGCCCACAAGTTCTTCACCTGCTGGTTCCAGGAGGCGTTGGACGCAAAGGGCTGCATGGCCATCGGGTAGGACATGGCGAAGTCCGGGGGCTGCAGGAAGGGCAGACCGAAGTTGATCATGCCAGGGTAGAGCTGCTCGGGGGGGGGAGGAAGCGGAGAGACGAGCGACTGCGATGTGATCAGGCAAACAAGAAGGCAGGAGGAAGGCAAATGAGAAACACAGCAGCATGGCGGAAGGGGGGGGGGAAGGAGGAGGAGGAGGAGGAGGAGGAGGAGGAGGTTACCGCGGTGTACTGTTCCTTCAACAATGTCTGAACGATCATCATGCTTGACATCTGCATGGTCGTCACGCCCCACAAAGATGAAGGTGATATGCAAGAAGATCGACAGCTCGACGACAACCATGCAAGGCAGGGAAGGGGAAGGCAGCTAAACGATCAGAGGAGGAGAGAGCATGGGAGGAGGAAGTGCAGAACGGAAGAGGTGGAGGAGGTGGTGGTGGTGGTCGTAGAGGAGGAGGACCTGTGCGCTTCTCAAAGAATTGAACTTGAGCTGATTCTTCTCAAGAAACGCAACGAGATCGTCTCGGTTTGTGCATCTGCTGTCACTTGAGTCGATCAAACTTCAGCTCTCGCCCAGCTCACAGTGAGGACACGAAGGGTGCGTCGTCCTCAATCATGACACAGACAGGTCTGCCGGGGTCCTGCTGGATGTTAAAGATGCAAAGAATAGCATTGAAGAGAGGACGTAGGAGGCCAGGGACGAAAGGCACAGAGACGAAAACAGCGAGGAGAAGAGGAGAAGAGGAGAAGAGGAGAAGGGAATCAGAAAGCAGAGGAGGAGTCAGAAAGGAGAGGAGGAGTCAGAAAGCAGAGGAGGAGTCAGAAAGGAGAGGAGGAGTCAGAAAGGAGAGGAGGAGTCAGAAAGCAGAGGAGGAGTCAGAAAGGAGAGGAGGAGTCAGAAAGCAGAGGAGGAGTCAGAAAGCAGAGGAGGAGTCAGAAAGCAGAGGAGGAGTCAGAAAGCAGAGGAGGAGTCAGAAAGGAGAGGAGGAGTCAGAAAGGAGAGGAGGAGTCATGCTGCTTGCCTGAAGCGAGGCGCTGAAGATGGTAGAGATGTCGACGAGGGAACTGCTTAGAGCCGCCTCCTTCATCCTCCCAGAGTCGTCATAGGGTGAGAGGTCGGCGATCTGAAGACCTGAAAGAAGGGAATGAAACATTGTCGCAAGGAGATGAGAGAGGAAGATGAAGTCAACGCAGCAGTGAAGTAGCAAAGGGAGACATTGAAGTAGCAAAGGGAGGCATGGGGAAGTAGGAGGGAGCAAGAGTCAGGTGAAAGAAGCCAGAACGCAACAAGGAGGGACAAAGGAGGAGGAGGAGGGAGGTGACAGGAAGGAGGGAAGGGCGAGGCAGAAGGTGAGAGCAAGAAGACGAGGAGGAGGAGGAGGAGAGGGGAGAGATCGAGGAATATGAAAGCAGCATCTACTTGTCCGCCGTTGTTGCTACTCGATGCGCCATCAGAATCTCCGTTCCTGCTCTCAGTGTCACTCCCTTGCTGTCGAGCTCACAGGACCCGACATGCTCCCTCCATTGCCGTCGTCGCCGCTCCCACTACAAGCCTTGTCAGAAAAAAGTTGCTCAATAGGGCAAGAGAAGATCGAGAGAGAAGCAAGAGTGAAACGGAGAAGGGAAGAGAGCGCAAACTGAAGAGAAGGAAAGAGGAAAGAGGACAGCAGAACAGGATAGCAGATGAAGTGTAGTGGAGGAGAAGCATGCAGGTCTATCACGAACCTGCTTGGTGAGTTTGAGGAATTTGAGTTCCCATTGGTGGAGTCTGTTTGAACAACATGAGAGAAGATGTAACGCGGAACACAAAACAAGTGATGAGTTTGCTTGCCTGTTCCTGAATCTCGCAGAGAATCCAAGGATCCAGCTAGAAACATGAAGTTACGATGAGATGAACAAGCAAGAGAAGCAGCAGCAAAGGAGCTAGACAGAAGAAAAGGCTCAAGAGTCTTTCAAGAGTCTTGAAAAAGAAGAGGACAAACGAGACAAGAGAAATTTCTCGCCTGCAAGAAAGTTTGTCTGCTCGGGAGAAGACTTGCTTATGCTTGACTCTTTGTTCGCTTGCTTGCTCGCACTCTGCTTTAGGGGACGATCACAAACTCACCTTCTCCTCCTTCCTCCTTCCTCTCTTACTTGGATACCCGTTACAATGTTACTTGCCATCCCTTTCTCAAGTAGCCGCTGCCAAGACAATTACGAATAGAAGGCAAATCAAAGATGAAGAAAAGAGAAGAGGAGGTGTGGGAAGAAAACTTCATGGAGAGAAGAGAAGCGCAAGATAGATGAAGAGATCGTAAGAAAGATAAGAAGGCCTAGAGGAAGGGCAGGGAGCAAAGAGGACGACACGACAAGAGGGATAAGAACTGATGATCGACTTCCACAGCATTTATACTCACTTTGTACCACTTGGCGAGATGCGAAGAAGTTCGCAAACGAACATTGAGCGTGCGGTAGGCGAAGATGTAATTCTGAACGAGGAAGTGGAGATGAGAAGAGCAACAATGGGCAAACAAACTCAGCAGCAAAAAGAGCAGCTCGGGTAAACAAGGAAGAAGCAGTCTCGATTCTATTTACCTTCTCCTCGATGGGGGCAGGTACGACTATGTTAACAGCGAGAAATCCTCTGCAGACAAAAGTCAATAAAAGACAAGGAGAGGAAAAGCGTTGCTTGAAGGTGAGAGGTCGGGGAAGGGGAGAGGGGTTTGATCGGCAAAGGAGGAAGACAGTGAGAAGGAGGAGGAAGAGGTGTTAGTGTTGGTGATCGTGAAGGAGGAAGAGGAAGGGGGAGGGCATGAAGCTGAAGAAGAACAACGGTCATGAAAGAGCAAGGCTCATCAAACCTCATCTTCGCCCACTCCAAGTACGCCAACGTGACGGCAGTGAGAATGTCCTGAAAAAAGTTGACAATAAGAACAGAAAGAGACAGAGACGACAAGAGACATTGCAACAACTTGACGTTACCTGTCGTTCAGTTCCATTCTCGTCAGCGTAAAGAGGTGTACTGTCGATGCATTCGATGACGATCTGAGTCGAGAAGATAAGCGAGCGAGGGAGTACGACAGGCTGAGAGGAGGTGAAAGGCAATGTTGCTGACCTGGTCGGGATTGTCTGGTTTTGCAGGGCCGAAATGTTCTTGAATGTACATGGCAAAGATCAAGATTTCTCCGATCGCTTGTGAACTCATGAAGAGGAAAATTGTCTTGCAGCTGAAATCTTGTCATGGTCAACAGAGCAGGAGCAAGTCAAACCGGTATGGGCTACTTCGATTGCTGTTGGCGCTTGAGGCTGGGGGAAGATGAGGACAGGAACGAAAGCTTGCGACTAGAGGCATACGCTTGTGCCGTAGCGCGTCAGAAACTAGCTTGACGACGATGCGCTTATGGGAAGGACAAGCAACTTGCACCTGCGGGGTCGTGATGAGCGGGGTCGTGATGAGAGTCCAGAGGCGGTGGAGGACGGGGGGGGAGCAAGAAATAAGCAGGAGGAAACAAGAGAAGCAGAGCAACAAAGAATGAGCCAAAGCAAGATTGAACATGAAATGGGCAGGGATTCGCTATTGCCTTGGAGGTCAGATACTGTCCCAACCGACTCTCGTGCAGCTGGAAGCAAGAGACTGCGGCTAGTCAGCATGCGATTCTCTTCCTCCTCCTCCCCTACCTCGGCCCGCAGGCTCTCGAGCCACGTCAGTCATCGCCCTGCAGGCAGTCTCAGCACCTCCCAGCTCCTCGCTCATAGGATACGCGTAGGGAGCTGGCGGCTCGCTGGCTGATCTGCTGGTGGACCCGCTGGTTCCCCCCAGCTGCCTCGCCGGCTCCCAGTCCTGGCAGGCGATGAGGTTGAGACAAGAAGCACGCAGAGCGACCAGTGTGGAAGACGGCAGGAAGGGGCCGTATCTCGCTGTGGTGAAGGGCAGCTGGACAACGATCTAGCGAAAGTGACTGGAGGGAGCTGAGAGCAGGAAGAAAGACCTGGTACTCGTCCACCAGAGCAGTCAGCTGCGCCGCAAACTGCTCTACGCTCATGGTTTGCATGTAGCTTGACACGGCCTGTCGATGCGATGAAAGGAGAGTTAGGGGGGGGGATGGGGGATGGGGGGGAGGGGGGGGGGGGGAGGGAGGAGGAGGGAGGAGGAGGAGGAAGAGAAAAAGG